ACCATACGATACAATACAATAAAATATTGAAATATTCCACATAGTATTCAGAACTTATGTTCAACAGAAGAATCAGGCAACGATTAGATTTCATAATTCCAGATCAAAATGAGTATATATAGATGTGAATAAGGGAAAAGAAATACGATTTCTAAAAGAGGGAGAAAGAGTAGAGTGTAGAAATTATATTGGAGAAAATAAGTGGGAATTTGGAAAAGTAGAGAGAAAGCTTGGAAAATTACATTATCAGATTAAACTCGATGATTGTAGATCATGGAAGAGGCATATTAACTAGTTGCGATCAATAGGAACAAAAACTACATGTTTATCTAATGATTCTGAGTTTGATTACCATATACCATATCCTGTAGATGATCCTGAAGAAACATCAGAGCCTATGGAGAATTCAAAAATTAATTCCAATGTCACCACCACACGGAGATCGCAGAGGAATATCAGAGTGTCAGTTTAATTAGGAAATGATTTTCAACTTTGAGTTGTTATTGTTGATTTCTTTTTAAGGAGGGAAGGTGTTACATGTTTTTCACATCCTGTATAAAATAGGGATTTCTAGATGTACATTATGACATGAGAACTGGAAGATAAAAGGAGCATCGGTTGTTATGTATATTACGATAGTTACAGTTATGTAATAAAATTATTGAGATCCGAATTGGATTTTTATTCTCACGGAAGAATTCATACTACATATACAATAGGACCGAATATAGCGAAATAATTTCAAGTTATAATTTCATCTCTTCCAGATTAGTCTCATGGGAATATTATTCAGTATCTTAATATGAATCAAGCTATTGTCAATCTTGAGAATAAAGCAAAGACTCATCGAATATTATTAATAAAGTCAGCGTCTCTGGGCGAAAACCTCGATGAGAACGAGATTGAAGTAGGAATTGCTACATTACGGGAAATCTGAATACGAGTGACATCTCTATCAATGAAGTGCTAGATGGGATAGCGGTGGTAGGAACGAGAACACCGACCAAATTACGGTTTAGGTAAGGGATCTGTTAGGAATTCGCGACGGCGTGACTAATGTTAGCGAGATGGCGTCATTAGTACCATAGCCAGGATTTCAAATCCTAACAGATAGTGTTCATGTCAGTGGATTTAAGTAATTTGAGATGTTTATGATTGGCTGAACTGGCTTAGTTATTCCTTCTACTGAAAAAATATCAATAATAATAATACCCCCATATCCAAAAAATAAAAAGCCACCCAGTTATCAATTGAGCCGTGGTAGAATCTGCAGCCATCCTGAAGACGTAACCTGGTGGCAAAAATCGGATAAGTATAGCCTGAAGTTCAGGCTCTGAACGTCGCTGGAGTTGTGAAGTCTATGTCAAGCGAGCGGACTTTCCCCACATCATTCGTATAATCAGAACGATCGAGACGTATAGGCACATCGAATCTGATCTGGTGGCAGCGAGACGAAGGCACATCGAATCTGATCTGGTGGCAGCGCTATCATCTTTTATAACCACATGAAAATATAATCCTATAGTCCGTCAGGACTGTCAGGAGTAGTTTTGGAGGGATTCGGCAGGTTAGATATTTACACACCAGGCCCTCTTCCCCTCTTGGATCGACGACAGAATGTTATTGCAGTATAGTATATTTAAAAAGTCTTATGTCGTATTGCACAGCATCTATACACATAGATATCTCATTCACCAGCTGCTGTATGGGCATATTTGAACTCATTTTGACGACTTTCCCCCTACAAACAAATTACTCCATTTTTTAAGTGATTGACCAGTTACTCAATGAAAGCAGGTGTTTCATGGTGCATGGATGGAACATTAGAAGTAGGTTTCTGGGGAACTAAGTGACATATTATTTGGAAAAATTGTAAATGCTCTTCATTTTATATAAACGAGGAGATAATTTCAAAAAATCAGGAATAATGAATATACCACCTTGTCAGTGGCGTAGCTATCGTAGGGCAGTTCGGTGCGGTGCACCGGGGCATTGGGGCCCCGCAGGGGCCCAGTCAATACCGGATTGTGTTTTGTTCTCATTTTATGAATATTTTCCATAATATACACTCACCGGCAAAAAAACCGGCAACCAAAAATTTTGCCCAAATTGTTCACCCTGAAACTTTTTTAATCCTTGTCAGATTTTTGTGAATACCAAAGTTACTATCTCACCCTTTACTTCTTAACGCCATGTGGCAAAATTGAGTTATTGAACTTGGCTTCATTATGCTCTGGATTGAAGTTTGATCCCTTCCTAACACAATATGGTTTCTGATTCACGTCAATAGCTCGTTTTTAAGAGAATATACGAGTGTTTTAAGAAATTATGGCATTTTTCAATTATTTTTAACACTAATCAGATCCTACATCAACTTATTGATTAACAACTTGAGGAATCAATATTACTAATTTCTACCTCATTTTTATAGCACTTATACCTAAAAAAACCTTGAATACAAAAAAAAAACTAAAAGCAGACCTGTAGTCAATAACCAGTATGCCCTACTCGAGTTTAAATTACAGCATTTAACCGCCCTATTATCGAGTTGATCAAATTTCTCAAGTGGACTTGAAGAATAACTAAAATTCTTCAATTGTAGCTCTTGAAGAGTCACTGACAATGCCGGACGAATGCGAATGAGCCTCTGAAGTGCATCCCTAAGATACTCTAGACTCTAGAGGTTTTGAAATATTGTTGACAAAAATTAAAAAATTCCATACTTGTATATTCTCTTTGAAGGGAGATATTGATCTGAATCATGAAGAATGGTTCTGAATAATTGTTAATAATGAATGAAATCGATACTTTCTTAAAACACTTTAATCTTCTGTTAAAAAGTGGTTATCGACGGGGATCAAGAACATTGTGTTAAGAAAGAATCACGCACTTCAATCCTAAACATAATGAAGCCAAGTTTAACCACTCACTTTTTCCACAGGGCAATAGGAAGTTAAGGGTAAAAGAGTAACTTTTGTTTGTCCCTGTATAATGAGCAAACCATCAGCTTTCCTCGGGACCTAATATTCACGAAAATATTCCGAAACATGAATATACGGTTTGGTGGAATTTTCACCAAAATCGGACAAGAATTAAAAAAGTTACAGGGCGAAATTTTATGGTGGCCGGTTTTTTTGCCGGTGAGTGTATATTCCCTACTTAATCATTATTGCTGGGCGCCTATATGAATGTTGAACTCAACTGTGATTTTACAATATGAAATATTGCTGCCAGCAGCGAGACCAGATCATAATCGTCAGTTGAAATCTCGGGTAGAAGCTAATCAAAACGGTCACAGGCTGAATATACTTACCTATGAAAATTTGCGTCCTTAATATACACGTGTCATAAATATTTGATTGTTTTAATTTGGTTGCCCTGTTGGAGTCATTTTCATGCTACCAAAATCTCGAATTATAAAATGGTACTCATTGATAATAACTGTCAGATTCAAAATACATTAGTTGTTTCAACTAGATACCGTGTAGATTGAAATTTCTGCAAAAGTCACTGCATGATACAAACGGAGTGAGGCGATGGACAAATAGCTTCACTCAGATTGCAGAGAATAAGCGGAGATATCAGGTGGCTGCCATGGCTCGTCAACATTTGCAAATACAATTCTTAAACTTTGTCATTTCGTGACTCATTCGAGAGAACAGAAAAATACTTAGGTACATTCAGTTGTTTTCATTGGAAATTAAATTAACTGATGAGGCTACTAGATTAATACTCAAGAGACAAATATATTCGATTCTCATTTTGAACTTCTAAACCAGGCAGCTTGACCTTGAAATTTCAAGTAGAATTTCCTGAAGCGCAATTTTGCTCTTATCAGCTTTCTCAAATTTCAAACTCATAACGACTCGCCACTACAAGAAATATACATTTCTAACAATTCTGTTTTTTTTTTCGATCTTCAACTACCTTTAACTCTAGAGTTGGAAAAATTTCTCAGTGAATTAGGGCCCCATCAACCCTCGTTGCACCGGGGCCCCGACACCTCTCGCTACGCCACAGCACCTTGTAACGTAGTGGAATAGGTTATATAAAAAATGATCACAGGGGCGCCAATAAAAAGTCTATTCCAACTAGTTATTCTTCTTATATTTCTTACAAGAACATTCACAATTCTGAAACATTAGTTTGCTGAATATAATATAAATTCGAAGACTCACATCACTCACCTGAAAGCAGGTAGGGAGTTTATCCCGATGAACTAACCCTGCTTCACTAGAAAGCCTTCAGCAAAGGAAATTCAAGTATAAAATATTGTGAGTAAGAATATTTTGATCCATCAACAAATGAATTATTGATTTCCCAACACCTATATAGGAAACGGCCCACACGGCCCTAAGTTCTTAGTGTATATAATACATAATTAGCATTCTGCTACAATCGCCTTGATTAACCTACAGACAGTATTTATGGAGTAGTATATCCTATAGGAATAAGAAATATGTGTGCAGTCAGATGCAATGAACACGACGCACTTGGGCATGACAGTCACTTCTGCAATAATAAGAGCGCTATAACCATCCTACCGCGACATGTTTTTTGCATCTGACTGTACTTTCAATCAAATGTTATCCATTATAAGCTGATAAAAAAATTCCAAAAAGGACTGGGAATAGGTAATCGAAATCACCGAAATTTAAATCACATATTATATATTTATAAGGAACTTCAATTAATAGGATAGGAAACAAAAAATTCTATAATCTTGTTCAGAGGCTCCAAATTATATCGCAATAATATAAATAAGTTTCCATTGACAACCTCACAACACAACATCAGAATGACGTAGGTAAGTGATGCAGGTAAGTACTTGAATAGCAGGAATCAATAAAGTACCTAAGACAAGATTTTCATCTCAGTAACATAATGTTTATTGAAAATAGTATGAAATATAATTTTAATAATACTCAACAATCTCGATTATAATTAATATTATGCAGATCACACATCAGAAATACTACAATGATGCCATGTCCTTGTACTCAGTGTGGAGGAACATCAGGTGGAACTTCGCTTGTTTCTGTATCATTTTTTTGTCGTTTCTTGGCTCTTATATCAGCCATGGTCTGTTCAATGGACCTCACATCTTTTTTATTCTCACTAGGAACTGAAAAAATAATATCGCTCTTTCAATTTCAGAACATCTGAATATTTTGCTGTTTCTCAAACTTTTTTAACCATGGTCTAGCTCCGCATTGAGTTGATTGCAATATTCTGTTTATGTTGCAACAATAATATGTTGAGAGTCCAGCCCCACATGAGCATGTATTGCCATGTATGATTTGAAATAATAACGTTCTAAATATGCGTGTTATTGACTAATCAACCAAAAAACAAGTACAGCTCAAATAACTATTACCTACCTATATTCAGTAATAATAACGTAATTATTTTTTCATTCTCTAGCTAGATGATAACTTCAAAGTGTGAAACCCTCATGGCACATTATGAAGTGATTATTTCGAAATTACTACTTCTCAAAACAAATCATAAGGATTCGTAACTTTGAAACATGGGCGCCGGGAGGAGGAGTCGATACGCACCCTGAGGATTTCAATTATACCGGGTGTTTGGTTCAACGACGTATATATGAAAGGGAGTGATAGGTGAGAACATTTCGGACATATTTAACCATATTATATACTTATTATACAGTGTCACAAATTTCGAAATATGGTTTTTCAAACATTTTATCTGAGTGTATCTTATTTTTCTTAAAAAGTTGAACATGTGTTTCATCGATATCGAAAACATAGTAGGTTATAAATGATATAAAAATATGTGCTGACACGTTAGAATGTATAGTGTAACACTGCGTATAATAGTATACACGTGTGGCAAAAGAAATCTTCTCATGGAGCAGCCATCTATTGAAGTGAATACGCATAGAGGATCACAAGTATCTGATGGAATGAAAAATGAAGCAACACTACCAAACCTCGCCTTCAACCTACGTACCGCGTCGCATGTTTGCCACACGAGCTAAATATGAATAATGGCATAATGGCAACGTCGCTTACGTCCCTTTCTCTCTATTAGATACCCATGGATAGATGCGTATTCTCTTGACTAGATGGTTTTCCAATAATATTTCTTAGCCATATATGTTCGAAATCACATTCCCTACCACCTTCATCCAGATATACGTCGGTGAACCGAAAATACTGTATGACTGTTATCAATATAAGATGTGTTTATAAAAAGAATAAAGTTCATTGTTTCAATATTGGACGTAACTCATGCGGATAGTTTTGGTGGAGTTGACTGTAAGATTTTCTTATTGCCCTATCATCTTCACTCCACTGCAAGATGGATCGACTCAGATGGTTTGACGGTGAGTTTGTGATCGCAATATTCATATTGTGCTCTGGGCTTACATTCTTTCCGCCGGTAATTTTTCACCGAACATTTTAGTCAGATGTTATAATTAGCGTCTCTATATGTGGCTCAACCAACTTTACTACTTCATAAAATAATGGCCTAGCGAAGCGGTAAAGCTTTACAAACTCATTCAATTCCACCAACTGATTAGTGATTACTCTATCTAGACTGTTAGTAGTCTATCGCAGCAAGCCTTCTGCTCAATACACAAGAACCTCCAAGCTGTCGTTCTTGACTTTTACATGGTATTAAAATCAACCTAGCAACCATTTTGTTCATAGGCGGCGGCAAAGTCTATGGCTTTGGCTTACCTAAGTGTTTTGTTTATGTCATCAGGGGCCGGTTCAATAAAAATAAAATCAAAATTGAGTGGATGAGTGTTTCTTTTCATCGGTGAGTTTGTGGGTAGTGAATAATTCATTATTTCAATTTGCTTACATCAGCTGAGCAAGTGTTTACATCAAATGAAATTTTGCATGTTTTGTATATTCATTCAGCTATGAAGAATTTGAGTTTAGGCGTGTGGTGCCATACCTGCTCATCTATTTCGGACGATTTTGAATTCAAATTTTACTCATTCAATAATGATCCTAGAATTCTTGGGAATAAGAGAAATGAATGGCTTGAGGCTATGAGGAGACCATCAAACCTTAGCCATTCAGGAAGGATAATTATGTTCAGACCATTTTACGCCAGCAGACATCTTCCTGATGCTTCCAGGCAAATGAAGGACATTGGAGCTACATGCAAATTTGCCGTTTTTGAAATAAACTTCTCAAATCTGATTATTTGGAAGCTATGAGACCTGAATACGGCATATTTCATTCGTTTCTCACTACTTTATGAATGGTTTATCAACCTTTCCTCCCAACCTTCTTCCTTCGATACGCCTATGTTCCTCGGATTCATTTGTGTAACATGACCATGCGCATGAACCAGTCTCACCAGTTCGATCCCTAGACTTGCTCACCTCAGCGTTGTCCGGAGCTCAGTTGTCAGCGGTACTAAAAGTGCTTTTATATGGTACTAGATTTGACGTTAGGGTACTAAATGAATTTTCCAAGATGTTTTTTCACTCGACTATAATTTTCGGTACCGCTAGCTTTTATAGCTAATTTCATTCACATGGTTTTGGTATTCACGTAAGTCTTCCTTTTTGTAGTAAAATGAGAAAGTGTACACTCAGTGAGTACCAGTTGTACCAATGGAATTCGGTATTAGAGAATTTTGGCCATAATAGAGGGAAAGTTAAAATCCAAGTTGAATTATTTGTGATTTGTTGATTTCTTCGACATATTTTTATTGAGATTTATCGAAATTTCAATGGCACACCATGTTCACAGTAACTATAGTTGGAATATTCTCCCATAAATACTGATGGGTACTGAAGAAACAAGAATATATAGATTGAGATATAAAATGCATTTCAATAAAAAAAAACAGAAGCAAAACAAACTCTGAACAAATAATACTGGTTATTTCAAAATAAGAATATTCAGAATAAATCATCATCCAAAACTTCAACGGAGGTCACATTTTTGTTGGTGAAACTTATAATACTTTCAGGCGGATGCCAGTCATAACAATTCTTGTTATCAACCCTCAACAAATCTTTGGCTTGTAAAAATGATCTACATGTACCACCATTCTAAGTTTTTCAATAATTCTTCTACAAATTGAAACTTTGAGGAAAGGTCTTCTAGTAGTCAGTGACACAAGTGAACTCACATATGTTTTTAATCCACTATTTTCTGAATTTTCATATACTTGGAAGAATTTGTAGTGCAAAAACAAAGAATCCACTACCTTGTTATAAGATAGCAAGCACAAAATTGATGTTGCCGAGATAGCAAGAAAGCTGGCCAGATGTCATTGAAATTGACAGATCATATTGCCAAAAGTCGATGATAAGAATTCCACTTTTTCGAACCTTGCTATGATAGCAATATCTTCTCTACAACCATATTTGCAAACAGTTGACCCGATTATCAACATAGACTGGCTATATTTCAATATTTCCAAATTTTTTGTAAAATTTGTATATCGCTACTTGAAAGTTGGGAGCCAACTCCCCAGAAGTCGAAACTTGTGCGGGGTTAGGAAAAGCGGGACCAAAAGCTTGTAGTGAAATCCGAACCACTTCTAGGGCATCGAGGTGCTGCCAGGATTACAACCATGAATCACAGATTTTGAAGAAAAATGCTCAGCCGATAGCCAGATCTGAACCGACAGTACCTCCGCATCGTGAACGGCTATCTAGTGAATTTCAGCGCATAGACAAACTCGGCCACGGCGCTCAAAAGGTAAACAGTAAGAGCGCATGCGCAGGAGCGTTCATTGTGAAAGTTCACTAAAATGCGTTCTATCTGGGAGTAGCTCAAGTGCAACACACACTGGGCTGCTCAGGTATAGTATAAATACAAATACCTACTAGATTCGAGTGCCATTCCTGTGAATATCGCATCAAACAGTGAATTCGGATTAATTATAACACAGGTGGCTATGTCTTTATTGACCAGTGGTTCATAAAATGACAAAAACTACCTTGGTAGTAAAAACACACTTTACGCATTCAAAAAGAGTAAATAATGGTAGGTTTTATAGCTTGTGGTGAAAAAAAAACCTTTTTCTACAAACGTCAAATAATGACAAGGTTCGCGCATTGATGACAAACTGCGAAGTGACACTTTTTTTCAGTTTCCTACGTTACCATGATACCTTGCACATAACAATGCGCGAAGTAAAACAGTGCGCGAAGTACCTACTTCGCGCATTGTAATGTAAAATTAATGAGATATTTATATTTCAACTATATGGTCCTCAATCGAGCAAACATCCATGAAATCATTTATTTCTGAATGTTCAACAATAACTTTGTTTAATCTCTTGAGCGCACGAAAGGAAATTCGTATTATGTTCGTGGAACATCGTGCGTACCTATAGGGAGGATAAGGGGAGGCCTTTAAAGCCAGTTCAACACTATTTTTTATATCTAGCTAAGCATATTTTCACTTCAAAACTATATTTTTTGACGTTTGTAGAAAAAATGTTGTTTGCAACTCGAGCGCGAAATACTTTGCTCATCTCGACTATTTTTTTAACTCGGCTACGCCTCGTTAAAAAAATCAGATCTCGATCACCAAAGTAGCATTTCGCGCTCTAGATACAAAAATAACTATTTCCGAGTAGTAGTACATTCAATTAATTGATGTGTGTGTGTGTGTGTGTGTGTGTGTGTGTGTGTACAAGGTATCCCACATCACATGAGCCACCCCCTTATACAGTAAACTAGAATAGATACAAAAACAATTATTGAGAAGTTGTTTATAGTCAAATGAACTTTGTTGTTCAGATAATTTCAAGATTTTTCAAATGGAATACCCTAAATTTCATTTTTTCCTTGGATAGAGCTCAGTAAGACGAGTTCAATGATGTTTAATGTATACATGGATCTGAGATCATCTGTTTCGGACTTATCCATGATCATCTTCAATAAATATTCAAATTTCAAAGCCCTATTGAAACGTCGAGAATTAAGTTTTCGATGCTCAGTTCCCGTATGAATCACCAAATTCTATATGTCATTTTGATATTTTGTCAATATTTAGAAATTTTGAATCTGCCAAAAGTGATGGCGTATTTTACAAACCCATCATTTTCTCTGAATTTTCACTTCATCCTTGGATCACTTCAATGATATACCTATGATAACATGGGTCTGAGAACACCCGTTTCGGACTTATCCATGATCTCCTTCAATATGTAGTCTAATTTCAAAATCTCCAACTACTTTATCTGCTCTGCAGGGAATTCAAGCTCACTACCTCCAGCTCAAAAAAAGAGCGCATTGGACGTTTCTGATGATAACACCACTGGGTATTTCATCCATGCATCTACGCAATACCGTTTTACACTCGGTTATACATAATATAACATTTATTGAACCGCAATTATGTCTGTTTTCACACCGACGACAAATACAAGTAATAAAAATAATCATACCAAAACCATATGATTTATTGGTCTCTGTTTTCTTTGCTGCTTCCAGAGCTGCGTCTTGACCTATAAGATGAGCATATTTATCTTTGTAGTTTGAATTCGGAACAAATTTTTCAGCTTTCCTCTTCGGACCTCTTATTTCTTCTTGTTCATTAAGCTTTCTCTGCAAATAACAAAGTATTCAGGAATAATACTGCCATTTCTTTATGAAACTTGTTTGTTCTTTAATTACTTTTTCAATAAGACGCTGTCTAATGTCTTCATTCCACGGTTCACCTCTTCTTCTGGCTGCAATTTCATCGTCACAAGGAGGGTTCTCCTTCCTGTATACTCTTATGTATCTATCTACGCCATCGATCCCAAAAGCGAAAGATAATAAGCCACATGATTCGGCTACTTCATGTCTGAAAAAATTGCATAAAAAAATAAAGTTATGAATACTGTCTATATCGGAAGGTGGAATGTTCATTTACTCAATTTTTTGTGATTTTGTCTCCTCAATTCTATGAATACAAATATGAGTAGTATTTCAATATATTTGTAATTAGGGCAATTTCTTGTTTAAAAAAATGAGACATTGGTCAAATTCTAAGATAGCAAAAAATATACTAGGGATATTCCGAATATGTGATAGGAATTTCCTGAAATATTCAATAATGTTTTGATGGAATAATCAATGAATATATCATTTGGAAATTAAGAACTTTCTAGTATATTTCATAATATTCTATGCATGTTCTTCAGCGATAAATTTCAGAATTTCTGCATCCAACCACATTTCCTTCGTTCGATGTTAGCAGGAAAAGGTCAGAAAAAGATTATCATTGTTATTTTTTAAAAATTTTACTCAACGTATACATGCTTTTGTATTCATATCTCGTCATGTGACACTTTATCAACTGTTTATACTTTTGGACTTTCTTTTCTGTATATTATGCTCTTTAAAACTGTGATATCTTTTGAAATTACGATTCATGTATCCATTTATATTTTACACTTTGTACTAGTTTTTGAGCGATTTTTAAATTGTACTGCATTGTTATCAGTTTTTTTAAGACTTCAATTTCAATCAAGTGTTTTGTCTTTAGAAGAGTCAAAAAGACCGTCTAGAAGATTGCCGAAAAGAACAATCGTAAATTACAATCAGATATATTATTGCTTTGTCAGACAGAAATAGACAATGGATTAATAAGTGGTATCCTATATATGGTTGCATTGGATTGTTGGATTTCGTCAGGTGATTTCCATGTTATGAAATATTGTAGATTTTAATCATAATTCAATAAATCTACAGCTCTGAAACTGTCTATTTTTGGCATCAAAATAATGAAATAAAATTTTTCACTGAAACATGCCCATTTGCGAGGAACAATTCTTTCCAGAGACGTCCAAAGATAAGAAAAAATTTATTTTTTCCCAATGTATACAGGGTATTTCTGAAATTAGAATGGAATAAGTAATAAAATATCAATCAAACACGAAGAAATGAAGGTACATTTTTGTCAGAAAATGTTTTTTGGAAGATAATGAGTTTCAAATTTTCCCTGGAACTTTTTTGAATAATTGATCAGAGGTTAACAACCGAGCCCAAGCGTTTGCTTTCGTCAAAGCCAGAAGCACCAGAAGTATCAGTGACTTTTGCAATCTTGTCACACGTTCAGATATTGTTGAAAGGTGTGGTATGGTATTATATTTCTTACGATTTATTGTGTCATTATGTGGGAAACATATTCTTGTTTTTGCAAAAATTCATTATCAAATAAAGAGTCACCGACTATCAATAGGACATTTCTCTTTTAGGTTTCTGGGAGTAAAATGTTCAACACAGTGACATTTTGATATAAGTCGTCCTCACTACGAAGAAAAGAGGAAAGAAAACCACATAAAACTAAAATAAATGAAATTATTGCTTTTAAATTTACGGGCGCCGCCACTTCAGGGCAAGGGGGCCATGCCTCCCCCCTAGCTCCTGGCTTATGTATTGAAAAAAAAATTATTTATGCCTGAACATTAAAAGCGCACTTTTTGGTCTAGAATTTTCTGTATTCAGGTATTTTTTGAGTAATTATGCAGTATTTGTTGTCATGATAGATTTCAGCGGCCAACTATTGCATTGAATTTTTTGAAATCGAAATCGAAATCAAAATCTCTTTTCTGTATGCTAACTTCTTGACGTATTTGTTCCTTAAAACCTACTAGAAACATTGAAAAATCATAGTTGGCTATACATTTTGAAATTTGTTACCTCGGTATTTCCAGAAAATTCCGGTACAAAAGATGGGCATTTTGCAGAAAAACTAGATGTTAGATGATGGAATTGAAATCGAGAATTTCTCACGTTTTACACACTGTATATATCAATATCAAGTTTCCAATACGACACCCTTATATCAGTAAGGCGGCTACTCACACACCTGCCGCAGGGGCAATCTAGGGTGCAGCGTGATTGGGGCAATCTAGGAAGCGTCTCTACACACGTATCTGCCGTTCAGTGCGGCAGTGAACGTACCGCAGAACAGACTATCACTGAGTCGTGAAGATGGTGCCAACAGTTTCAAAAAATCAAAAGATTGGCATTGCCCTGGCTGTTTCTGTGATGCCACAGAAGAAAAGAAAAAGGAAGTACTGGATGAAGGATTGGTTACAGAAACGAAAAGAATTGTGTCACATGAACGTTATGCAAGAATTGGAAGTTGTTGATCTTAAAAACTTTTTACGAATGGATTTAGAATGTTTTGAAGACATCCTTGGCATGAGGACACCATTAATAGATAAAAAAAGCATAATGCGGAAGGCCATCAGTGCTAGAGAACCACATGTGGGGCCGGTCTTTAAAGACTTCAATAACCCGCGTCCAATCTTCTCGCTTTTGGTTGTTCTCGATTTCCATATTCGATCCACCTCAGCAAGCTAGACAATGAAAACGAACACTCCACACGGCTTTCTCTTCAGAACTGAGTCGAAATTGGCCCAATCACGCTACACACGCAAGTTGTAGCAGGGCGGTTGGAGCCGATCTAGGAAGCTAGGAAGGTCTGGCGCTCCTGCCGCCCTGCAAAGGAGGCGATCTAGGAAATTGGCCCTGCTTGCCTACACACGTCACAATCTAGAAGGCAATTTAGGGTCAAACCCACTTTCACACCCTAGATTGCCCCTGCGGCAGGTGTGTGAGTAGCCGCCTTTATAGTATCAATTATGAATTCTGATGAAAAAGTATTTCGAATTCATCGTCTCTGTATAATATGGAAAAGTATCTATAATTTTTGGTGATTATGTTTCGGCACGTAACTTTCTAAATATTTGGAGGCATTTTGCATTGATCAAACAGATTTCATCTGCGGTGCATTTTGTTGGTTTCTGAATTATAAAGATCATTGCCATGGAAATAAGATGCCAGCCCCACCGATGGAAATTTTTCTGGCGACGCCCATGTTTGAATTGATTGAAAAACGACTTACACTATACTTCTACATATTTGGTCCATGTGTTCAAATTTAAGTGTAATATTTGTTGGGTCTTGAAAATGAGAAATGAGTTTTGCCTCAACCCGATCCTTGAAACGCTTCAATTTTTCTTTTTCTTCAGTTTGACGTTTTTCCAATTCTTGCTTCCTCTCTAGATTATGAGGAAGAGTACATTAATAAAGCTAGACCAACCATACCACGTGATAGAACAATGTACCAATTTCAATCAATTTTCAATATAAGTATTAATGTTATAATAACCATATTCGATGTTTTCGTAGTGGCCTGGAAACCCTTTCGCAAAAGCCATCTGTTTAGATGCTACCAGCATTTATTTTCGGATAATGATTACCTCTATTCAGCTAGCAGAACCACATTAGATTTTCCAATTTTTTTCGGCCCTAATTTGAGACAAATTTATTACCCGATTGCCGAATTTATTGGTCTTTGAGTTATGCAAAAAAATCATGGATTCTACTAGCTTAATGTGAGCAGAACCACTTCGTAAATAAAAGTTCAATCACAGAACTAATTATAGGTACCATAATTTAACGCTAATTTAAGGCTCGAATCCTAGCCAATTGCCAATTTTTTTGCATATTATTTGTTTTCATGGGTTTCAATAGCTCAACATCGATTGTTTTGTTAATAATTTTTTGCAAAAATTGCCACAAATCCAACATGAACATGACAAACCAATATGAAATCAAAAAGAGATCAAACACAAGACTAATTATACCATAATTTGAGGCGAATTAATCCGAGCCTTTTGTCGATTTTTTGACATGTTGTTCTTTTGAAAAATCATGGGTTCTGTTAGCTTAAGCTAGCAAAACTCATGATTTAAAACAATTTGCGAAAAATCGGCAATAGGCTAGGGTTGGAGCCTTACATCAGCCTCAAATTATGGAATAATTACTTTTGTGATTGAACTTGTTTGATTTGCTATCTGTTTGTCATGTTCGAGTTCTTGTCTCTGAAGCTTCACCTAATCCAACAGAACCATCAAGCAGCAGAAATAATCATCATTTATTCAATGTAGACAACACTGCTTGGCTCGTACACTCCAACAAAACGGATGAAGCTTGGTGGAAAGCCGAAGCTTTCGCCATCAGTCACGGCTTAGAGCAGCTTACCAAGGAGTAGATAGGTAAGGTATATTCTAACATCAAAACCTTGATCTTAGAACAGCCCTATGGTTTCTTTGATCCTAGAATCGTTCTATAGGTTCTGGTCTTAATCGTAGAATCGTCATACGATTCTGGTTGGGTTTCTTTTCTAGTATCACTGGGGATCAAGGTCGTGGAACCACCGATTCTGTGATCTCAAAAATCTCCAGGTGATCCTTGCAAAGTACGAAGTGGAGAATCAGCAGGAGATTCAATGCTAGCACTACTCAGTGTCGTCATATACGGGTTAATCAGCAGGGTAGAAATCTCCTGATCCTTGCAGATCTCAAAACGCGCGCTATACTGCTGGTCACGCAGACCCACTATATTGAACACAGTACTTAGGGTACTGTACATTTTGGATATAACCTGAGGGAGGGATCAGTGAATTGAACAAAAAGTAATATTTATTTTAGTAGGACATTTCAAAGTATTAACTATCTGAATGTTATCTTTAAAATAAAATAGGAATGGAGGATGAAGATTGTATTTTACAATTGCTTAACAATTTTTGTCAAAGAACTGTAGCTGAACATTTTGTCACGTAAAATTAAACATAATGCTGAAGTGTTGTCTGGAATCGCTCTGGCTGTTTCAAACTCTATTATCATCATAACTGATTCACTCTGCGAGAATTCTTTCTGATGGGAACAGTCTATGTATGGCATAGGGATGTGCTCTACAAACTCCTTCGGTCACAATATAGATTCGTTATTAGATCCATAATACGATGGTCTGATATTTGCGAACATGGAATATAATTGGGAAGTTTTATTAGCAGTGAAATTCAGATATAGATTATTATATGGATATCTGTCACTGTTGAAGAAAACTCGAATATTTTTCAAGTCACAATCATCGAAATCACTCGAATCTGATTTTATATTATTTTTCTTGTCTGTTTGGAAAACAACGATGATGTGATGTGGTGTTTCCACTGATCTTGTCGTTTGACAGGCCATGCCGTTTTTGTAGATGTAGGCAATTTGGGGTATTTTATGAGCTCCCAACTTCGGAATGTTAGAAATATTTCTTGATTTTTCTCTACCATTTTAGTGAACAACAATTCTTGTGGAATATTTAATAAAACGTGAGGCACTCTCCAGAATATATTGTCGATTCTACTTTTGGAATTTCCTTCATGTAAGAACTGTATGTCGCGTCAATGTCATCATTGCTTCATGTTCAAAATCCCCTTTCGGTAGTCTTCGAAGAAACCCATAATGAAGGAGAGTGTGATACAAACGCTGAAATTTGCTCTAGTATCTACTGGAACTTTTTCATCCTTTGTGATGGAATTCACTTTTAAAAAGCAACCTGCGTTTTAGTTGATACTTTTATTCGCATGGTATGATAAGTACCCCTATATTGTTGATACGAGGCCAATATTTTTAACTAAACCAATTGTTATATCATTCAATTCCTACCTTACCTCTCTAAATAAAAAGTTCATTGGATTATTGATGAATTTGAGTTTGTCGATAGCCGTTCCATTCGATTGCATCAAACGACCTTCAATGTATGGCGAAGTATATGTATCAAGCTCCTGAATTGATATTCTGATTTCATTGCAGTAGAATTTTTGTAGTAATGGTTGGTATGTCTGATAATCCTTTTTTTGAATTGATTGGTTGAACTAACGGCTTTTGGTTGATATTTGAAATATTCTAATATAAGCGTGAATCCTAGAGACTTCAAAAAAAGACGATTGGAACGTGTTAGTTTCTTGGTGTTTTTCTTCACACTGGTGGGTTTTCCTGAAATCTTTGCTCCCTTATACCAAATGGGGTCGACCATCCTATTGTACTTCATAACCATAATTATTCGAGTTTTTTCAAGTGAAGTCTGACAGTTATGGTTTCACCTCGAAAATTAACGAGTCTTCCAGCTTGATCCAATATTTTTATAGTGATATTGTCTATAGTCCTTGCACTTATCTTGAATCAGATAATTGGATCTACAGTTACGATAATCTTGTATTCTGGAGGGACTACTGGACTGAGTGTGAATCGAATGGTTTACTTGGCCGTTATGAAAACTTTGTGTTGCTATTTTACAATATGTATTGATAGCATTGACACTCAAAATGTTCACTGTAGTATCAGATGTGTGAATTTGAACTGCTTCCAAGATACGATTACTGGTCACTGATAGAGTGTTGAAATTAGGAATGATATAGATTCTTGCATCTCTGTCGATATCTTTCACTCTCGAAGATATAATGTCCTGGATGTCATTGATTTCATATGATCCCACTGGAATCGTGATGGAATTATAATTGTCACCGAAAACGAATTGGTTATTTTGTTCGTCAACATTGAGAATGACATTGGATGTTTCGAAATTAGTGAGTCCTATTCCATATTCAGTATTTTCCTCCAGCTGGATTGAAATCCGAACTGCGCACAGAGGATGAACCAGATAATGAAAAGGCTAGCGACATTACCTTTGATGTACTACATGATTTTCAAGTGTGGTATATATTATACAGGGTGTTCCAGATTTAACTGTACATACGACACCTGCAGATAGAGGACACTTTGATGGTTCCAAATCACCCTCCATGGATGTACCCTCTTTTATAACTGAGATACAGGATGTTATCTTGATTTTATCAAAATCTTCATCTGGTCATAACTTTTGAACCACTTTGTATAATCTATCCATACTGGGTAGAAAGATTTCACTCATATAACCGATCAGAACTAAAGGAAAATGGGGATCATAATTCAGGTTTCTCTTGGGGAAATACATTAAATATCTTTTATTTAAAAAACAACACTCTGTATGGCAAAATTTTGTGGATCTGTTCCGGTATTTGAAGAGAGCAGGAAAAACGAACAAGGTGATCTACTTTTTACGAGCGCGCATTCGATTTGACAGATGTTTTATTGTTATTTTCCGAAGTACTCAGCTCCATTTTGAGGCATTTTCATTGAACTCGAATTCAAAATTCAATTATTTTACAAAACAAAAAAAGTCTTCAAAGATCAACATCATTAGAGTCGAATTAGGTTAACTATCGATAGATTTGTTCGTTTGACACAATAACTTGTCTGTGGCTTTAGAAATTTTACGTTAAGATAATTGTTAGTGCTTGTATATTGGGTTGTTACATTCCAAAATTGGATTTTGAATCACGAGTTCAATAAAATTGCCTCGAAATGGAGCAGAATATTTCAAAACATAATAATAAACCATCGGTCAAATGGGATGCGCGCTCGACCAAAGTTGTTCATTTTATTCGTTTTTTCCCGCTCTTCCCAAATATCAAAACAGATCCACAAAATTTTGCAATACAGAGTGTTGTTTTTGAGAAATACAACATGTTTTCTGATTTTCCTCAAAACGAACCTGGATTCTGATCTCGATATCTATTTAGTTTTGATGAGCAATATAAGTGGAATATTTTCACCAAGTATGAAAAGATTTTACGATGTCGTTCAAAAATTATAACCAGATGAAGTTTTTTCCAAAATCAAGAAAACGTCCTGTATCTCAGTTATAAAAGGCGGTAGATACATCAATGGGGGGTGATTTGAAACCTTCAAAGTGTCCTCTATCTGCAAGTATCGTATGTACATTTGAGTCTGAAACACCCTTTATAAGAATTTGAGGCAGAGTTGGCCGCAATTATAAGGAAATCATCATAATTATATTGTACTTTATTAGAGCTACCATCGAAATATTCGGTGAGTTCGAGAGGAGATCTCAAGTTGCCATAACTATCAAAGTACTAGATATTTTGTCTTGATTTGATATAACACACCCAATGTGACCTTTCACCATTTTTCTGTCAAGATTGGCAATACCGCTCTCGTATCTTATGATTTTATTGGGTAATTCATCCAACATGAACACTCCTCGGAAATGTGGTATTTGTAGTTTTTCAACATATTTCAATAAATCTACCTTTGTCAATGGTCGGCGTGGTAGCTTCATTTTCAGTTTTTTTTTATTGGGTTTGGGGTATAATATATAT